AGTTGGAAATGGGAGGGAGGAGTAATTGGTTCTAAGGAGATAGCCAGGAGCTCTGCCCGGATCCCTGCACCCGAAGGTGCGCTCCTCCTCTTCCAGCTTCCCATCTGTGAATTCTGTTCACCGCTGAAGCTTTTAAGGGCCCACAGAGCATTTTCTAAATGGAACCCATATTTAAAAATCAGATTTCATATCAAGAAAGTCCAGCTTTTCAGGCTATCTTTATTTTTTTTTAAATTTTTTTAAGATTTTATTTTTATTTTAAGTAATCTCTACACCCAACATGAACTCACAACCCCGAGATCAAGAGTCCCATGCTCCACCGAATGAGCCAGCCAGGCACCCCCAGGCTATCTTAAAAAAAAAAAAAAATCTAAAGATCTAGACACTGAACTCCTAGATCTTAAGGGCTTAAGGGCTGCAATTCAATTGGAAGGGAAGTGGTGGCTCAGGGGCTTGTCAAGAGCTGGTGTCAGCGTGGCAAGCTCATTATTTTTATATAGGTTGTCCATTACAAATTAACTTCAAAATGCAACATTTTGCAACTTCAAAATGCAACAGGCTGCGCCTGTTTTGTTGGGGGCTCTAGAGAGCTGTTTCCGGTCCATATGTTCTCACCCACATCTCCTCACTACTGCTTCACTTGGGGTGGGGGTGGGGTTGCATTCTTTGCACCACCGCCAGGGAGATCACTTTTCTGAGCTCATAGAGCTAAACATACCTCGTGACAGCTGGTCCCGGCTCTTCGGGGAGCTCTTGAGCTGTGGCTCTAGCCAGTGCTGCATTCCCCATGGTAAGGCGAGACGTTTAGGGAGCCTTCTTAGACCTTCCTGAGAGAAGAGCTACTTGTTCTCAGTCTGAAATAGTAAATCTTTGTTGTGGGACCCAAAAGTCGCCTCTTTGGTTTGGTTTGTGTTTTGCTTTTTGTTGCTTTTAAACTTTGTCTTAAATCAGACCTTAGCTATTAGTTGGATGTGGGGCAGAGTTCAGAGTGATATGTGGCAGAGTCTACCTCAGGTACATTGGACGTCAGAGTTCAAGTTCGGTGCAGCATTCTTGTCTGCTGTGTTTATGGCTGGATCACTGGGACCTCCATGAAAGCCTGTATGGTTTGGCAGGGGAGATAGTAACAGTGGTGAGGGTATAAACGGCCCAGAAGAGCCACCTTTGACGAAGAAGCTTTTTCTCTTGCTCTCATATCCTTCCTTATCTCACCCGCCTGCCAATAATGACAACTAACATTTGAGTTGTGCTTTACAACGTTAACAGAGTGCTTCTGTGTGCATCAGGAATCACAAGCTTTCTGCTCCCAGACCAGAGAGCACATGCCTCTTCAGAAGGGGGCAGCTGGTGCTCAGCTCTGGCATATTGTTGCCGGTCCTTCTGCAAAGCCAGGAGTGGTGCCCTGGGGGTGAGGGTGGAGGCCTCCTGACCTCAGCCAGCACCAACCCCCCCACCCACCAAGTGGCTCCAGATGACAACATGTACATCATGTCCTTTGATATGGACAATTGATTTTTTTTTTCTTAGCTTTAAGTAAAATGTGAATAAAAAACATCTTCAGAAAAGGTTGCATTTTGAAGTTAATTTGTAATGGACAACCTATATAAAAATAATGGGCTTGCCACACTGACACCAGCTCTTGACAAGCCCCTGAGCCACCACTTCCCTTCCAATTGAATTGCAGCCCTTAAGCCCTTAAGATCTAGGAGTTCAGTGTCTAGATCTTTAGATTTTTTTTTTTTTTTTAAGATAGCCTGGGGGTGCCTGGCTGGCTCATTCGGTGGAGCATGGGACTCTTGATCTCGGGGTTGTGAGTTCATGTTGGGTCTAGAGATTACTTAAAAATAAAATCTTAAAAAAAATTAAAAAAAATAAAGATAGCCTGAAAAGCTGGACTTTCTTGATTTGAAATCTGATTTTTAAATATGGGTTCCATTTAGAAAATGCTCTGTGGGCCCTTACAAGGTAGGTGCAAAGGCACCTTGTGACTTCTGCAAGCACGTCTCATTTACTCCTTAGCACGCTTAGATGAGAGGGATGCCTAGTTCTCGTTCTGATGGGGAAACTGGGTCAGAGAGGCCAAATCACTTGCCCAAAAGTCACACAGGAAGGAAGGGGTCTGTTTCTATAGGTTGTGCACTCTTTCTATTTATAGTATCCTGCCTTTCCTTCTCTTAAGGTCTGATTGGTGCATCCCATGTCTTTGTTCTCTAAAGAGGTTCCCTTCAGCTTCAGGCCCTTCCTTCAGGTAGAGCTTCTGTCAGCCCACATTCCTCATTTGGCACCATCTTCTTGCTGGCCTTGTTTTCTGATCCCACTCCTTCTTTGCATGGTTTGTGGGGCACCGATGGAGCCTGTATGTGAGCCCCGTGCAGGTCCTCCTTGTACTTTCTTCCCATGAGCTTCTCTGTCCTCTGTATACCTCAGTGATCAGACTTGGCTGTAAAAAGCAGTCTATTTCTTATTGGTTCCTGATAAACAGCTGGTATATGTCATCAGATGGTTTCCTAAAGCTAGCTGGGAATGGCAGAAAATCCCCTCTCTTGGAGATTTTGGCATTTCTGCTCCTAAGGCCTGCATATGATGTGTGTTTCTCTAGTCTTAGGTTAAGAGGGTCTGGGTTAGAGCCCAAGAGGGGCAACACAGGGCGTACCTATATCTGTAATCTGAGGGTTACAGATTTGATCTCTTTAAAATATCTGCAAATCCTGACAACTTTTCATTATGTCCACACTACTACCTCATTTCAAGCTAGATTATTGTAGTAGCCACTTGACTGGTTCCCCTGCACCCGCCCTTGCCCTCCTATAGTCTGCTCTCCCACACAGCATTTAGAACAGTTTTTTATTTTTTTAATTTAATTTTTATTTTTTTATTATGTTCAATTAGCCAAACATATAGTACATCATTAGTTTTTGATGTAGTGTTCAACGATTCATTAGTTGTGTTTAACACCCAGTGCTCATTACCACACGTGCCCTTGTTAATACCCATTAGAACAGTCTTTAAAAAAAAATACAGATGTAGGGGCATGTAGATGGTGCAGTTGGTTAAGCATCGGACTCTTGGTTTTGGCTCATATGGTGATCTCATGGTTGTGGGATTGAGCCCGGAGTTGGGCTCCATGCTCAGCAGGGAGTCTGCTTCAGATTCTCTCCCTCACCTTCTGCCCCCCCCCCC